TAAGCACGTTTGAAACTATAAATTGGGCTAATAAAAGAGAGTACGAAAATTTCGTTTCAGTGGCACTTTATATCAAAGTAGGAACAGTAGCGTCCACCTTGCTTGCCTCAGCATCATTCATTAATGGCGTGGTTGTTGCTTAAGTTCTCTTATTTACACTGTTTAGTTGTGGCTAACAGGCGACCCTTTCCACGCTCTCAATCCCAAAATCCTCATGAAGACACATCTTGAAAGATACATTATTCATGAAGTTTCTCAGAGATTTTTCCCGCGAGAAGATTTCACGCTGAGCAACAAACAATGTCGAATATCAAATATTATTAAGCATCCTTAAGCGGGACCTGTTTCTGAATGGGCCATGAATTTTTTTTTTCACCATGCAAGGTGACACATGTAGCTAGAGAGGTTGCTTACATGGATATAACAGAGGGGATCCGCCGTCGTAAGCGATATTTATTCAAACGAAATTAATCAAAACTATCTTCTTCCTGAATGCCGCAGCTTGTGGGTCAGCTTTGAGAGTTTCAATTCATAGTCTAAACACAGATTTTGAAAAACAGTGACATCAGTTTTTCATGCGTCTGTCCTGTTATTGATCATGATCGTCATAACATTGTCAAAGTAGTCATGAAAAACTGACTTCGATTTGTTAAATGCATCCTTCCTCGTACTTATGTTTCCATACAAAGGATTTTTCATATGAATGTGAGGCCTAGGATGTATCAGTATTGTTATTCAAATATCGGCGCCATTTATGCAAAGGGTCTATTGCTGTTACGCAATATCCAGGGACAGTTGTACTGGAGTGAAGAATGAACAGCTCGATTTCTGATAAAGTTAAGTTCTGAGTTTTGTGGATTGGGCTTTTAACAGGGTGATCCAGGCCGCAATGGTAATTACGGAAGTCAAGGAAAGCAAGGAGTTGACGTAAGTTGTTTTTATTTTATTTTATTCTTTTGATATAGACATAAGTAATTTGCTAGAAAATACACCCCTCGTAAAGTTCATTCGAAACTACATCCGGTCCTGAGGCGCGTTTCTCAAAGGTCCCGAAAAGTTTTCGCACCTGGGAAGCCATAGCAAACTCTCAAACTATGTGATTACACAGCTGTTTTATCAGTTCACATGTTCTTAACATAAACAGAGGTTCCATTCCGCACAAGGAGTTTCAGGCGTATACACCTGTTTTTAGATACAGGTTATCTAAAAATGGCTTTGCGGGCCCGGAAATTTCCGGGGCTTTTGAGAAACGGGCCCCTGGGCCGAGCGGCGTTTTCTCCATATCGTTGATGACGTCATTTCCCGCTTTTTAACAGTTGTTTGCGCAAACAGTCAGTTGGTCGGTATAATAAAAAGAAAATTACACGGTGGCTTGTAATTACAGTGGAACCCCGGTAATACGACAACCTTCGGGTCATGAAAAATTGGTCGCATTAACGGGATGGTCGTATTAAAGGAGTTCTTTAAATAAGAAAAAGACTGACTGAGCTTTTTTTTGGGCCAGAATAAAGTGGCCGTTAATACGAGGTGGTCGTATTAACGGGTTGGTCGTAAGGCGGGGTTCCACTGTACACGAGAAAATAAAATTAATATGTTCACGCCGCCTTGTATTATCCTCCATGTATTTTGATTTGCATGTTAGGTTTTCTAAAAAGGATTAAAAATGCTTCCGCTCTCAGAAAAAGAAAAACAAGACAGCTAATTGTTGAAGACACAAGCTAATTTTAGTGTGTGGAATAAGTGGACTAACGAACGACCACTCATTTGTATTTTGAACGTGGTAAAAAAGAGGATACTGCCTGTTATCCTGAGACCAGAATGCTTATGCTAAGTATGGTGAGTTCTAAACTGTAAAAAATGGTGATACACTCTGGCAACACAAAATGTTAATGTAGCATTAGTTCTAAGGCATTTAGATATTAAATTTTTTCCAGTAATACATGAGTTTATAATCCATCAAATATTTTCGCTCGTGCGCGATTGGTCTTAACACGTCACGTGACCGAATATTCCCCAGCTAAAACTGGGGAATATCCGAGAATATTCCCCAATTTTCAAAACTGCGCGCGTTGCGAAAAAGATTTGAAGAATAATTAACACGATAGCCTCCATTTGGCGCGAAAATATGCTGGGATATTTGTCCTTGGACATTATCTGTTCCTCGAAGCTCACAGTTTTCCTCGAGTTACGCTCTTGGAAAACTGTTCGCTTCTCGGAACATATAATGTCTGCGGACAAATATCCCAGCATATTTTCGCGCCAAATGGAGGCTATTGTTTATATATCACCAGAGGTTTTTTTCATTGTTTTACAATGTTTGTGTTGTTTCTTATTTATCCGTGTAACACCAGGGTCCAGCTGGTTTCCAGGGAGAGGTAGGAGAGGGCGGAGACGTTGGACCAAAGGTAAGTTTACTTTGACTCACGAGTACTGCGTTTCAATTTTTTTAGGGTTCAGACAACGAATTTTGTTTCCTGACTTTTGTTTCCTGTGCGAGTCATCTCTCCCCATCCAGGTGTATAAAAGGCTACCGGCGAAGTTAATGAAACGTAAAATTTAGGAAACAAATTTTTGACAATTTGGGTGTACTTCGCGAGGTTGTTGTCCTTTCCGAATGGTCCGGCAAGCGTTCGATTCGCTACCTGAAATTCAAAATGGAAATTCAAACAGGAATTTTTGGTTGAATGGAAAGCGCCCATTGAGTGGCAGATCTTCAAACACGACTGACGACAACAAAGGTTTTATTTATTTCCACCAGACATCAGTTCTGGTGATCGTTTTATTTTAAATTTTTTTTTATACTTTATTTGTGTCGAAATTGTTTCAGCCGAGGGATAACCCTCTACCAATAGAGGACACCTACCTAAAAAGAAATTACAAAACCTAAGAATAATTTAAAATTTAGTCTATTTGCAAGTTTCATGAAAATAAAAGCATTTTTTGAAAAAAAAAAAAAAGTAATAATTATTGTTATTTTCATTTCTCAGGGTGACTTTGGATATACTGGAGAACCAGGAAAGCCGGGTGAGCCAGGAATTGAGGTAACTTCATAACTTGATATTGAATTTGTCTTTACGATATTTAAGCAATAGAGCACTCTTTCTGTGTTTACGTAGCCTCATCTAAACACCAGGGGAGTTCGGAGAATTCCAGACAGTTATGCGAACCCGTGACGTCACAACTGACGTCACAACTGTGTTTACATACTCTCATCTAAAGACACCTGGCGACCAACAAGCGGGCACGTAGTATCTCACGTATTTTAAAACAACAGGTAGCCACGAAGACAGGTTGTGGAGATTTGACAAAATCATCAACCAGAGGATTGCCCTGTCGTATAAACAAATGATAAGAAATTGCATTACAAGAATGTAGAGTTCGTAAGTTTTTGACTTCGGCATTTATTGAGAGGTTAAATGCCTGTTGAAAAAAGGAAAAGAGACTCTTCACACTGCTAGACAAGGCTGGCGAAGGAGGCGGCTGAAAGTGCAGCTTGCCAAAAGGTCTGCAAACAAGGCTTTGCTTCTGTTTCCTTAAGATGATTCAAAATCAGTTTTGAAAGCGAAGCAACACCATCTGGAATTCCTCGATGGATTTGGAATGGTCTCATTCTAGGATTTCAGCCACATCAGCTGGCGTTTTTCATCATGATAAACACTTCAAGATGAAAGTGTTTCTCATGAGCTTCCCTTCACGCTAGAGTTTCATCCAAAGGGCCACCATTGCACAATATCACAAACTACTACGTATGGTTATTGATCAAGCGTGGGGTCAAGATGGCTGGAAATTGGATAAGTTCTTTTTTTACGTGTTTGTGGGCTGAGACAGAGTCGAGGCCCATAAACACGCGACAAAAAGAACGAGGCCAATATCCAGCCATCTTGACCATACAAGCTTGGACAATAGAGGATTTATTATATGGCTTTCGAGGGAATTTTTCTTGTGGGGCACAGCGGGTAGTCCCGAGCAGGCAAGATAGCGCCATCTTGTTCGCTCAGGTAGCCAATCACAGTGCAGGATTGGATTCATCTTGCCTTCTAGCAAGGAGTTAGCCATATAATAAAAGAAATTAGTGTTTGATTCCTTTCGTTTCATTGGGCACAGTCTTAGGGGATCAACAGTTTGTCGGTAAAGATAGTAAGCGTGACAATACTCTTAGTTTCAGTAGCTTGTGGCCTTTCCTCCAAAAAAACTGCACTTTTGTATTATTTTTTCAGGGTGAATTGGGTGATCTCGGAAGAAATGGAACAGAAGGCCCACAAGGACCAAAGGTTTAACACTTTACTTGTTATTGACTTCAGTGTTTTATTGCGTTCGAGAGTAACGTGAACGCATACTTATTTCGTCTTGTTCTCCCTGTGTCTCATCCAAGCGAGAAGAATCGAGATTTTCATGAGTGGTTCACATTTTACCCCACCCCCCGAAGATATTTTGTAGGAGCCTTAACACACGTGCGCCATGCAAGTGACGCGAGCGATTATTTTCCGAAAGCAAGTATCGTTGAGTTGTGGTTTTATCTATGATCCCGCTTTTGGAATACCATGTAAAATACGTCAACACATTTAACTTATTTTTGTTTTGTTTTGTTAGGGTGGCACGGGATCTCCTGGCTCTCCAGGTGAACAGGGAGGGCCTGGACCAGAGGTAAGTAATGACTTAAAAAATTATAAAAAAAAAAAAAAAACAGGAAACACTGCCATTTTTTAGACGATGTCCAGTCACTGCACAACAATGGCTTTTAGTATAAATCTATTAGCTTTCTATTATGCCATTCTCTTATTGGCTACGCTACTCACTTCCTATTCTATGGCAGATAGCTAGTAGCCTAGCAGTGTGTGCCCGCTACTTTGTGTTTTCGTAATGTCTGTGAAGAACATTTGAATAATTTACCAGTCGAGTTTTGGACTCGATTTATACTAAAGCGATTGGATTATTCGCTCTCGATTTCAACGCGGAATAGTTGACGAGGGCGCAGCAGCGATGAGAAATCTCGAACTCATGATCTAGTTGTTAATAGCGTATGAGTAGCTCAGCTAATTAAATAGCATCATTTAGATTAGGTCACTAGTAGAATTCTACTAATAATATATATTTGTTATTTTTTTAGGGACGAACTGGCCCTGCAGGTCAACCTGGACTTCAGGTTTGAATACTTGTATTAAAAAATATTTAGTTGATGATGATGGCAATAGTACGTCTGACAAGATCGTAAAATGGTGCAGTTTATTGACCACACTAAAACGCTGGTGCTATAACTGGCAACTGAAGTTTGTGTTAAATTTGTTTTCTTCGGTGTTAAACGGAACAAGTTTTGTAAATGTAAATGAGTGTGTTGAAAGTAATGCAAATGAGGTTTTCCCGATCAAAATGAAGTGGTCTTTACAACTGTGAAAGAGGTTGCAAACGGGTAAAACGCCTCGTTAGTGTTCGGCCGTTGTGATGTTGGTGCTCCTGAACTACAAAACAGCCAGCAGCGGGCCATTGGTGAGGTTCTGTTCGTAGTTTCAATTTCTCTCTCACATCGTTAAATCGTGTCTGTCTCAGCGTGGCAGAGAATTTAACAAACAACTGAGAAACTTAATCAAACCCGAAAAATGTTTATATGAATTAAACACTTGAAAGACCGCTGAACTGTTGTGAAGTTAAAGAACTACAGCCACATGCACGGGTCCTGTACCTATTTTATTTAGTTCCTATTAAATATGACATTTATTTTTCGTTTGTTTCAGGGTGAACGTGGACGACCGGTGAGTTTTTAATTACTTTAACCTTCTTAAGACCAAATAGTAAACATCTTTTAGAACGTTCAACAGTGGGTTAATTAATTCTCCTTGTTCAAAGACACAAGGCTGAGTTTCGTTGATAATGCTATGTTCTTTCAATCTGCGAGCGTGAAATTCTGACCATATTTTCATGCAAACTTAGTTAAGCTATATTTATGTTGTTTAGTTCAATGTCCATTTGAATTTTGTGCACTTTTCACCTGTCGTAGGTTTTGGTTTGCTCAGTTTTCCAGTTTTAAACGTCACAATTTTGAGGCGATTTTTAAGGCAAATCTGCCTCGAAGGAAATCTGAAACAGTGTGATATTACCATTTTATATTAACTGGTTGGTGTAATTGGTTCATCGCTGGCCTAAAGACAAACAATTTCAGCTTTTTGAATAACTCACAAGTGCAAATTAACTCCAAACTGAACTAGAAAAACGGTATGATAACTTATTAATAATATAAAGGTGAAAAAATTCGCGTGGAGGAAGTGCCGGAAGATCTTTCTTGAAGCCATTTTTTCCATTCGAGAAAACATTTTTCAAAGTTTCCGCACAAAATTTTGGTCATCATTTTACGTGATATCATTGGCTTAGAAAATTTCCTGTTGTCTTTCAGCCAATCATAATCCAGAATTACGATTGTAATTTGAACTGGTGTTACACTTGAACTGCATTGCTCTCAGCCAATCAGAATCGAGTAATTTTTTTCGTGTATATTATTGCAAACGTAATTTGGACGAAAAATTTTCAAGTTTATCGTTTTTAGCTAAGATTTTTATTAATTACCATTATACGCCGAGATTACGGGCGACAGCGTGAATGTAACTGTAACGTCTTTTTCTTTCCTCCCTGGTTTAGGGTAACGATGGAGATGCGGTAAGTCTTCTACTCTTGGTTTTTTTTCCACCATTATTAAGTGTGAGACACCACTGGGATCAGGTTAGGACTGAAACGAAAAAAAACTTACGAAACGTAGTGTGTTCGTTGGCAAGTTAGAGTAGTGCTCCTTTCCTATTTTATTCTCTGGCTTCACTCAGCCGAGTAGAAAACATTTCTTTTATAAGTAAAGGACACAAATAATACGACAAATAGTGGAGGGAGCTGCCAGGAATAGGGGCTATTCACAAGAAATTGACACACGCTAAATACGGGTTATAAGTGACGGAGAAGAAAACTTAACCAAACCGTAGCAAGCTAGAGAATATACTTAAGAATGCTAGACGCTCTTTTATATAACGATAATTATAGTAAGAGAAAATAAACTCGAGAAAACTGGTCGTTTTTCACAATGAGTGGTTTATAAATGTTTCATTATTCCAGTGGGAAATAATACAATACAACCTAATTTAACATCTAAAAGAAATGTATTATTTTTTACAACAATGTCTTGGTACTTCAGTGTTGTTTATCAAGTGTTTATGTTGTAAAACATGGTTAGTAGAGGTCAACGTTAGTTTGGATCGAGTTTTAATGTTCTGATTTTGTTTCGAATCTTAGGGAGATCCGGGTCCCCCCGGTATGCCAGGACCTCAGGTGAGGAGTCTTCAGTTGTTGATGTTGAATGTTGAGTCGGGGGAGGGGGGGGGGNGGGATGGGACGCATTGCTCCCATCGGAGTTATGATGGCATTTGTCACGAATGGCGCAAGTACTTTGTTCATGTTCTTTTAGTGAAATTGAAAGAAAAATGTTAAATTCTGAAAATGTAATATGCGCCCAAATGTTTGAAATGTACGTTAAAAGCTGTCATACAAACGAAGTGTGGCGTTCTATGAAAATTGTATCTCACTTCTGACTTATTCCAAATAAAGTGTCGTCGCTCAGGAAGCCTTTGAACTTTTTCCATTTAACCAGTGAATGAGTACCCGTAATGTGCATATTTCAAAAAAACTTGTTCGATTAAGCGTTCTCTTAATCGAGTCGTTTTTACGTATTAGCGTATAGCTCACTTTGAGGATTCCCAAAGGTGCAAAAGCCACTTCCCACCAGATAATTTACTTGTGATATATTTTAAATCTTATTTAGGGACCACCAGGACAGAATCTCCAACAAGCGGTAAGTTTTATCACCGATTTATTTATGATTTATAGATCCCGTAAGTTGTGACACCGTGTTCCAAAGCATTCATGGACGTGTTTTTCTTTTTACTCTTTGTATAACAAACAAATACTTCTTTTAAACACGTAGGTTTTCGTTAAAAAAGCACTGAGCGTTTTAATTGTACGTGGTCGTCTTCGTGCGTTTCTCCCAAATCAGAGGCAGATTCCGTCTAGGGCATTGGGTGTGCTATTGTCAATGTATCAGGCGAGGTTATTCTTCCAGTATGGTCTCAAAGAAGCTTAGTTTATAGCAGATTTATTACGCGACCGAAAAAAACTGGACTTCAACTTCAAGTGCACAATTCTTAATGAGAGTCGAGGTAGCGTTTAATCGTCAGACGTTTTCCAGAATAATTGTTTCACTTTTCGATTCTCTGGCTAGATTAAGTGCAACACTTGAATTACTTTTATTGGCTTTCAATGTTTTTAATATTCTTTTTTCCTTTCCCTCGTATTTTTAAAGCTCTCCGAACTCGGCTCTGGCGACAAAGGACCTGTGCAAGAACGATACCGATTGTACTCTAGCAAGGTAAAACCGTATAAAACTATGGCCACTCGTACCCTTCTACTGTTAATGAAACTTGCCCCGCATGCTTTTACGACTCGGGGAGGCGCGGTCTTCTGAACTGCGGATCGAACGGTCCAGGTTGGAGTCCTGGCTGGGGACATTGTGTTGTGTGCAAGACACTTAACTCTCACAGTGCCTCTGTCCACCCAGGCGTATAAATAGACACCGGGGAATTTAATGCTGGGGTAACCCAGCAGTGGTCTGGCATTCTATCAGGGGGAGTAGAAATAATCCTAGTCGCTTCATGTGACGGAAGTTGGAGATGAGCCCCAGCCTGATTGCTTGATAGGTTTGAACGCGGACTTAACCTTAGTGCTTTTGGTAGCCTTGGCGGCCGATATTTACGAACGGAGGCCACGTAAATGGTGCTTAGGTATATTAAGTAAATCGCTTTTGTTTGGCGTGCATTTTATGCCTCTTCTAACAATCTTTTTTTTTTTTTTAGCGATCCTCAAGCAAAGTACAGGAGTCGGAGAATAATGCAAAATCCCAGCTATTTATGGTATGTTATTTAATTCTTTATAATTTGCCCTTCTTTTCTCATTAATCGCGTTCGGTTGAAGAATACCTAGTTATGCTAAAGTGCAATTATTATACGATATGGTGCTTCTGGAAATGGACATCTCAAACACTGGCTGAGCCCGCGGTTCTTCTTTAGTCAGTATCTTATAGAAAACGAAGTCTCGTGTAGAGGGTAATTAAGCTTCATTTCCAGTTCCTGTTTTGACTTGTTAAAGTCTTTCAGTACCATGTTTCTGAGAAAAGACCTACCCTTCAACGGACGTATTTGCGTAATTTTTGGCTTAAAGGGTGGTGGTTGGAAAACTGGAAGAGATAGGTTAACTGGGTAAAGATTGTAGACCACACTGAGTCGTGTTTACGTCGACGCAATCATTATGCGACTTTTCGAATGGTTCTCGACTCGTAAGTTAATGGGGAAATAAACTTGCATTTCGTGCGTTTTCCTCGACATACCACTAACGATTACTCGGTACTGGAATATTACAACGATACAAAAATGGCATTATCAGCGTCATTTCTTTGTCTAAGGAAAAGCCGAAGGTTTCATTTGTTAAGGTTTTAGTTTCATGTCAAGTATCTCTCATTTCTTGCTTGTTCAGAGGGACGATATCGATTTCACGTTGAAACTGGTGGACAGGAAAATAAGCAACTTCAGAGCTCAGAATGGCACCAAAGAACACCCTGCTAGATCGTGTAGGGAAATTAAGCTGGATCATCCCAATTTCGAAAGCGGTTTGTATTGCTTTTCATTTGTCACGCTGTTAGTGTTGTTCACGTGTCGTTGCAAAATCACGCAATTTGTGACAACGCAGAAACGTCTACACAAATGTATGAAACAACCTGTAACTAGATTTTCAGCTCTGTTGTCAGCCTGCATAGTTAACACAGTGAAATGGTTAGGAAACCTGGCAAAGTTCTTTGTTGTATGGCTTTGTCGGCCATTTTGGGGGTTGACCCTGCACATAAACCTAGCAAAACACAAAAAGTGGTTATGTGTGTTCATACATGTACAACTAACTAATAGAAGCATTGCGATTACGTAATTCATGCATAATCTATGAACGTAAAACAAAAGATGTGCAAGGTCAAGGACCTTCCAATATAAATCTTAGCCTGTTTGTTTGCTTCTTTGTTTTTACCGGCCTTCCTAACCATTTCACTTTATTAACTCTGCAGCCACGAACACTGATTATCGTTATATGTAGGACTCGTAAAATCTATATTTAGAGAGACACTCTCTGCTTGCTCTTTTCGCTGAGTGTGTTCCCTAACCATGTCATTCGTGCATGTGTTCATTGTTTTTTTTTCTTTTTTCCCCATTAGGTAAATACACAATCGATCCAAATGAGGGATGCATTAGTGATGCTGTCGAAGTCTACTGTGATTTTGAGAAGCAAGCCACCTGCGTCAACCCAAAAAAGAGCAAGGTACGAGATCTTGTAAGCCTAGTGTAAAGTATTGTACTAAAATACCAAGGTGTGAGTGTTAAACACTTTCCTTGATGTTCTTCATTGTTGATGTGAATGTTTTCTGAACTCACGAGAACTCTACTCTTGATTTCATTAGACTGTTATCGCCGCCAACGAAACCGGACCTGGACAATGGACAAACGAGGACGAACCGGTAAATCCTGTTTGTTAAAACCTGTTAAGAATGTTTGGTCTTTCATCAGTGTCAACAGTGTTTCCCCTCCAAAACTGAAATTGAAAATACCTTCAATGAAGTGATATTAGATTTCTGATAGTTGCAGCCGAATTAGCAATTAAGAACCTCTTTTAGAGATGGCTAATGTCTGGCGTGAAATGCAGAGGAACCTCAGTAATGACAGATAATTGGTTTAACAAAAAGTCGACGGAGAAGTCGTCGGATAGTCATTTTACATTTCTTGGCGTTCCGCTTTCTACTCTTGACCACGATAGAAGGGTACTAGCTGATACATTGTATGTACCAGTTTGAATTTTTTAATTCCGTTTTGGTAAATCTGAGGTGAACATTGTAATTTTACACTTGTCTGCAGATTGAATACAAGCTGAACTCGGTGCAGATGAAATTCCTTCGTCTTCTTAGTAAGAGCGCCTTCCAAGAGATGACCTACAGCTGCACCGACCTCAACAAAGGTTGCATGGTGGACCTCAAAGGAGAAAATGAAATGGTCGTCAACAACTCAGACAAGATCAGCCTTGATGTTACTGAGGTAGGAACATAGCTGATCAGCGGTTATAAAGAATACTCAACCGTTTGTTGTTGATATATTTACTTTGAGTCTGGGAGATTATCAAGATATCGAAGGTTGAATGGTACAGCGTTTCATATTATGATATCGCTTTGGGATTATTCTGCCGAACAAGAGCTAGGGACAAATAAAGCTACTTTACATGAGCTTTTTCAGTTGTTATGGTGAAATGGAATACTCCTTTTCGTGCAACTTGGATTGGTTCTTCACAATTCTGAGCAATTGATAGATAATATGCGTTTTGGTCAATCAATCAATCAATCAATCAATCAATCAATCAATCAATCAATCAATCAATCAATCAATCAATCAATCAGTCAATCAGTCAGTCAATCAACAATCAATCAATCAGTCAGTCAATCAACAATCAATCAATCAGCAATCAATCAATCAAAAATCAATCAATCAATCAATCAGTCAATCAATTAATCTATTAAACTTAATCTAACAGAGGGTAGCACATAATGGTAGAAGTAATGAACCTGTGGCCATCTGAGTAAAGAACATTTATCTCTTTTCTTTCATGCATCTAAAGCAATTGCACTTTTGGAGCGAGAAGAATATAATAATTGCGGGGTTTGGTTTGCCTGTTTAGCCGTGGAACACGCAACCTCTTGGCAAGCTATATCTCTTCCGCCGACTTGACTTAGGTTTTAATGAATCTTTTATCTGTAATATTGCAGACAACACAAGATGGAAATAAAAAATTAAAGATTGAAGTCTCAACCGCACAACAGAACAACTTGCCCATAGTTGACTGGGCACCACAAAGTCGCGTCGACTCACAGCTCACATTTGAATTAGGACCAGTTTGTTTTGTGTATTAGTCGTGAGCCAAGCGAGAGAGCGAAGAACTGCAGCCGTTATTTGTACATTGACTATTTTCCTGCTTAATATATTAGCTTAGACACGAAAGAATACCATCTTTGAGCATGTAGAAGTTTCTTAATAAAGCGGTTCTCGGGATGATAGTCGACTGCAATTGATTCTGTTATGTTACAGTAGCTAGCATTTAATAATATAAACTCTAGCGTAGGTGTTTTGTCTTACGATTATTATATATTTCATAACGAAAATAAACGTTTAGTTTGTACTCTTTGAAAACTGGTATATCACCCACGCCTCACTGCGTACAAGTCTTCAAGCAGCCTGTGTTCAGAGCTTCGGAGTTCTATAATTACAGGCGGTTATGGTGTATGCAAGGTTAGTGTTTAGCCTGAGAAACCAACTTCCGGTATGAGGGATCAATCATGTGCGTGTTATCACTCTTCAATATGGGTCTGACTGATGTAGACAACCGCAGGACACTATTGTAAATGTCGGACCGTACTGGAGAAATGTGTTTCTGTTTCTTCATTTTCTGTCCATGTTGCGCGTGCACAAGCACAAAGATGATGGTTGTTTATTACTACGTTTGACAGGTGTGATTGGAATGGAAAATATCTGGACTTAAAAGAACTGAATAAAATAATAAATGAATGACAGTGTTAAGAGAGGAGCCACATCAGCCTTAGCTGGCTTTCATGCAGGTCCTCCATCCTGGTAGAATTGAAATTTGGAGATGTTGCTTTCAGTGGAGGAAGAAAAACCGGGGAACGCGCAGAAAATCCCTCGAAGCAAGGCGAGAACCAACCTGAACCACATTGGTGGGAGGTGAGCGCCCCTTCCTTGTCCATGTTACGCCTTGATCTCGAGCCCAAATTTTCCCAGTTTTGCTGGTCCTTTCACTGAGTGAAAGCAAGCCCATTTCGTCAGGAAAACAAGAAGCTTTTGCCCACCATGTCGATGATCTTAGGTGCAACGTCTGAGATCACTGAAAGCGATCATAGGGCGACTACGCACCGTTTACAAGGGTCTTCATGATTGGCCAAACGAAACAATAGGTATACAACACAAACAATTCCCCTAGCCCTAAAAACAAGAGGTGCAGATTAACAAGTACGAAGCAAAATAGGAGTTTTAAAGAGGTGCAGGTCATCTTCGATCAAATTTGCCACTCTAACACGTTGTCAACTGGCTTTTAATAAACATGGTAAAGAGCTGTCAATGTCTTCTGACTACATGATAGAACATGATTTGCAAAGTCTTTTAGCAGACTCGAATACAGCATTTGATTTAATTTCTTTGCTGGATTCAATCTCGGATTGTCGGTCAATACATGCCATGGCAAACATTTTAAATTCTGAGTAGTCCAGCTCCTGAAAAAGAAACAAAAATCAGTCAATCTATACAAGAAAATACAGGGGCCAACGTGGAAATACCATGGTATACCAAGAGAAAGTGTTGCTGTATTATATAACATGTCATTGAAAATACCGTGGGCAAGTCATTAAGTGTAGCGCATGGGAAGTTTGGGTGGAATGACGTCAGCAGTACAGGGACTTTCCTGAATTCTGATTGGCTGTATATTTTATGGCGCAGGGTGAAAAAATATGAGTGACTCTTCACTCTGCTTCCGGCCGCAATCTATTATTTTCTAAGACTAAATAGAGATTCAGAAACGGTACTTTTTAAGAAAATCACAGATCCTTATAAAGCGTCAGTTATTATTCGTAACATTAGACAGTCAGAAGTGGCTCACTGTCAAACCTGGTCACCAGAAACGTCAAATTCCCTGAAGATTGTCTGAATTGCTTCTCCTTGCAAATTGAATAGAAACCCAAATGTTTCAAACTCATAAGCGGAAATATTCCCGCTGCTGTCTTCATCCAGAAGATCAAACACGGTGCGTGAATGCCGGTAGATGAAATTTTTCTCCGCTTTATCTTGGACAGCGATGAGAATACAAATCAGCAGATAGAATTCATCAAAGTCCATCGCTCCCGATCCATCCACGTCCAGCATATCGAATACTTTGTAGATTTGATTTGTGTTGAGGTCCGTAGCTGTCTGCATGAACGCGCAGAACTGCACATCGTTTAGAGCCATTTCATCATGAACATCAATCAGGCGAAACAACTCCAAAATGATTCGAACGTTCCTGCCTAGTTAAAAATCATAATTAGAAACTAGACCGGACGGGGGAAAAAGGGGAAAAGATGAATGTACTCTGAAGAAGAATTATGTAAGAACTAATTTATCTAAATTTAGCTATTTTAACAGAATCGTAGATATGTGGAATTCTCTATCCTTATCGGTTCAACATGTGAGGGAGTATTTAGTTTTTAGCGAGAAATAAGTTATGTGTCCATGTATTCATGTTTTTTTTTAAAGGTTTTATATTTTGTATTTCTTATTTATTTAGATAATCTATCTTGTATGGGGTCCCATTCCTCATTTGTAGACCTTTTTATATATGTCATAATAGGTTCTTTTTCTCAGCTTTTTTCATATATATATACTTGTATATTTTGCCATTAAATTGAAATAAATCAAAAATCAAATAAGAGTAGACAGGACTGCGCAACTCCTGTTTAAAAGGCTCTACAAGGTGGAGCCTTTTTGTACTGTAGCAATACCTGCATTGACTTGTGTTAAGAATCAAACGATCGCGATGGAAAATTTGTTTCCATTTGCGTGCAAATTTGCCCCCGATGACAGTCTTCGCCACTCAAGACCACTCAGCGCGTGTAAGTCCTAACCCATTGACGCAGGTCAACATAAGTTGGAATTGAGAGTTTCTATGTCATTACGAGGTCGCGATAATCATCTTCAGGGGAAGGCGGGGGGAGGGGGATTGGCTGGATGGCAGCACGTATGGCAAAAGTTACATTCACCTTGATCGGGACCAACTTTGCTCGTAAGAGGGCCCAAGTTTTCTTTGTTTGGTCAACCAAGACAAGTTTCTTTGTTTGAAGTTGTGAGTTATTTTTTAATTTCTTTTTTGTCACTTTTGGGTACGTTTAGGAAAGTCCATATTTCAAAACTAGCGTTTACTTGAGACAACGCGCATTTCGATGACTGGCTGCGCACACGTGGATAGTTATTCGTAAATGCGCGCGCGCTCAAGCTGTCTTCTTCAGCACTTTCACATTGTTGACGAAAACAGTGATTCGAATCTCTTGACTAGGCTGGATAAATAAAGCCATAACATCTCCTGTCGATAGAACTGAACGCTTAAATTCTCACTCATAATGACTCTTGCCTGTATACCATCTCTTTCTGTACGCATGCTGAAGGATAACTTCAGTATAAAAACCAGTACAATTTCTATCCTTTGATAAAAAGTGCGGTTTTTATACAGTCACTGACCCTATTCAGTGTTTGAAAAGATATATGCAGTTTGATCAATTCGTTTGCTGTCTACTAAGTCTATCCATGGTCTTCTAAAACATATAATAATTACCAAGAAGGGGTCAGGTATGATTGAAATAAAAAGCGCGATATTTCTTGTTAAATTACAGTATTGTATATTATCCTGAGGACGGTAGCATCCTCCGTTGTAAGAATTTACTTGTATTTTAAAAATTCTGATCCTTTTAAAAGCAAATAGTATACTCGAATGACAAGACATATTTTCAAGAAAGTCTATAGAGACCTCTTTACCTAATCCAATTTTTCGTCTCGGGAAAGTGCTCTGTTGCAATATTCCATGCGTCGAGTTAAGCGTGATAAATGTCGCACCTTTCTTGTCAATGTTAGCTTCCACGTTTATCGGCTGACATAGACGCTTACATACATGATATGAACATTTACAGCAAAACCTACCTGTGAGCAGACAATATGTTCTGTCCAAATGCATGTATTTCAGAATCTGAGAACGAATCTTCATATTTGTCTAAGTCACTGAGACGCTTTTTGCTACGGCATTTTAGGTAAGAAGCAAGGGTTCTTCAAGCACGCGTGCAGTGAGCTGTACAGCGGTCAACAGCTCCCACCAACCCTATCGTGGTATACGTAAGGTGGTATGGTATGGCCGTTTCAGAAATCCAGAAAAATTATGTAAATGTATAATCGGCGAAAGGTGTCTTTAATCACTTTATTGGCTGGTTTGAAAGTCTCCAGTCTCATCTATTAAACCTACTACTGTATCAATTATCCCAAAGCATAAATTACTAAGTACTCCGCATCGTTCTTTCATGTTTTGATGCTGGAAAACGTAGGAAATGGCATTTCCGAGTCTCTAGGAATAGTCTATTTTTCATAAATCGCCGAGTTCATGGGTCCTTTTTCATACAGACATGAAGAGGCCGTCTCTGTAAAAGCCAAACTCTGGTAACTGAAACTGACTTCAAAAAAGGTTAGAACAAAATCAGATTTGGTTTGAAAATTCGCGCTAAGAGCCGTTTAATATTTCGCTTCGTCAGGGCCCGTTTCGCCGTCTCTAAAAGCATAAAATTGGCATTTTTCTTCGCGCTGTAAAATTTTTCATTCGCAACATCTGGGATGAATCGTATACCAATTTGCTCATGACCATTTCCGTTTTCCAAGAGACTAACAAATTCTCTCTTAATTTAATTGCCAAGACGAAATTTAGCATATTACTGAACAATATTAATGGCTATCGAACGATGACTGGCAATGGCCAAATTTTAGGCTTAATACCCTATCGAGACGTCGTCTCAGAGCTGGGTTCCTTCAAGAATCAGATAAAAAAAAAATTATTCAAGTCTGGTATCAGTGAGAATCTTGAAAAGATATTCTTAATTAAAACTTTAGTAAGAAGTTTCAACTGGGTTGCAAGTTTTAAAAATTAGCTTCAATAAAATGATGGCCATTTCCAGCAATCTTTCAATAGCGATTAACAGTTTTCAGTAATACGCTTGAAGTTCATCTTGCCATTAAGAGAAAATTTAATTTGTTAGTCTCCGGCTTGGAAAATGAAAAAGGTTTATGAGTAAATTGACATAAGAATCATGATCAGATGTTGAAGATACGGCGCCACTAAAAATGCCAATTCTGTGTTTTTAGAGATGGCGAAACGGGCCCTGACGAGGCGAAATATTAAATGGCTACTAACGCAATTCGAAAATCATCTCGAAGCAAGCCAAATCTGTTTTATTCTAACCTTGGGAAAGCCTTTCAGTTGCCAGAGGTTTAGGGAAAATTATTTTTGATGCGAAATTGAGTGCTTGTTTTTTTTACAGAGAGAGCTTCTTAAACGCCATTGGTCATCGGCTAGTTTGGGCACATTTTTTTTTTGTCGATGTAGATAGAATTTCCTGCTGTTGTTCCTCTGTCGTCGAGTCTTAAATTGCCGCTGATTGCAACTTTGCATAAAAGAAATATTCCTGCCAATATTATCAGACCTATATGTCAATGTACACCTTAATCTTCGTATAGTTGCACGGATCGTGGCGTCTAGAGAAAAAAAGTTAAGGTTTTCAATCAATTTACGTCAAGTTGGAGTCGGTTTCCTTCGCGGTGGTTTCGGCAACCCTAGATCTTTCTCCACTTTGCAAGATTTTCCATTCTAAGCTTCAAACAGACACCGGCAACTATTCTATAATGAAAACAAAACAAGTCGATTTACGAATGATTTAGATGGCATGATAACTTTGGCGCAGGCGACAAGCTTTTAATACGACAAGTCTATGGCACGGATTGTGCTGGGTAACTCAAGTTAAGATCTTTATAATTGTCGCGTTCGACACGAAACCCTACGACGCTAGGAACTTCAGATGATGTTTTGATGAAAGTTGTACATGATTTGGCACGACGCAAAATAGTGTGCGCCAAACGAAATCTGCCGACTTAGGTGATTCAAACGATGCGTTTACAACCTTGACATATCCGGCAAAATTGTTCCTACAAAGTTGATAATTGAATTCGGTACCGCAGATCTGTGTGTAGTATTGATTTAAACTGTACAACTTTAATGGTCGCACCAGCGACTTTAGTAGCTTTTGCTGATGGAGTTATGCAAAAATCACTTTTCTGAATTTCTTTCGTTTACCATTCTGTGAAGAGAAGCTAGCGCTACTGTTGTCGTACACGTAAAGGAAACCAGTGAGGAGTATCGTGGTATCGTACAATCAAACCCAATTTAAAATATTTTTTATTCACTTAGCTTTTTGAGGATATCGAATATCTTTTTCTTTGGTCACAACAGACACAAACACTTTTTCTTTGGTCACAACTCTTATTTTTAGTTCGCTCTTTGACCTGATTTGATAGTTTCATGAGGAAAGGAAGCGATAGTGTTAAAAAACAATTTTAATTTTTACTTTATATTTTTCTATGCTCTGTTTTAAACAATTGTCCGTGGCTGCAAAAACTCGAAATAAAAGTACTGATGGATATTAGCGACTTAATCGATCTTAATCTGCCTTTGTTCCATTGAGACCATTGAAGTCTGAAATAAAAGAAAAATTCATTCCGCAATATCAAGAAAAGTCGCTGGGTAATTGAAAAAATTTTGCTTCGCCAATTACTATTTTGAAGAAGAGTGTTCAGATAATTTGGCAATGTCAAAATGTTGACACTTTTTGTTAATAACACCTGTCTATGCATCTGACTAACACTGTCGGTTTATCCTTAGTAAGAATATCGCCATTTTGCGCTCTTTTTTCGACTGATTCACAAACTGTTTTCAGCAAGACAGCATATCTATATTGCTTCATCGATGGCTCGTAATTTCGTCCCCAGTGAATAGTTTCTGTGCTGCTGACGCATTTGACCTGATCGATATGACTAGAATCTGATTTGTTTTCATCCTGTTTATTTTGAATGTTTCTTTGTCGCCCGACTTAACGAGTTTATTGAGCTCATTATCATTGGCTTTCCGTCACTTTTACGGCTCTTTTTATTTAATTGTCCTTTAAAGAAATTCAAGCATTTATAGATGTTAGAAAGCTTTCTCATCTTTTTACATTCTAGAGTAGAAAAGCAAGCCGGTGCCTAAGGCCTTTAACCACAATTTTATCTTTTTATCACAAACGTTTGTACTAAAATTAATTTTTTATCATGATATTCAGTATCCACTCTCTTTAACCCTGAAATCCTACCATCCATCAAGATCTTGTAATTATTTTAAGACTTTCTTCAGTCTGATTGGCTATCGGCGATGCTATAAGCTTTTATTTTGAAGGCTTAAGCTTAATTAAAGAGCACGTACAACAATTAAAGGTGTCCGTATTTCTCGAATTTAGTGCTTCGTTCGAACGCGAAAAGACGGAGTCCGGGCGAGTTCAAGAAGCCAGCCCGCTCATTTTGTTCTCCAAGATAACAGCAACGTACCAAGGTTTGCCTATGTTGATGATTTTTAAGTCATTTATTTCAGCTTTGCCGATGTATTAATTGATCTCTGTGATGTTTCCGTGCTCTTAAAGCTTCTCAAAGCCACTTGTAATATTGTTTCCATGTGTGGTCTCTCCGGTACTCCTTTTCTTCTGAAACGAAAATTATTTTCCTTAAATTTCAATGTTTCTTTTGCGCTTCTATGTCTGCGAAATCAGGTTATCCAGGCATTTAATTCGCGGTTGATGCATCTGGTTTTCTAATTTGTTTACGAGTGTAACATTGATTTTGGCAAGCCTCCGCAGAACTCATTTGTTTTATTTAATTATAGCATACGTGTAGTTATTGTGAGAGATTTTTATTTCAAATTACTGTTCAACAGACTTTGTAGTTTAGCAATGAAAAACATCAACTTTTTGGATGGTTGAACTTTTTCTTGAGTGTGGCACGATTTAAGCCTGTAAATATGTTCTCAAATATTCGTGCAATTTTTGAAACAAGGAAATACACATTAAACTTGTAAACGTGGACCTTGCCACTAGGTGAAGACAAAGTTGGCTCTGGCTTGAAATTGAACAAATTGGTGATTCAAAATTTACGTGAATTTGTCATTTTCAGGCCAAAATGTCGAAAAGCGTTGTTAATTGAATTTAAGAAAGCATTTTCCTTATTGCTGTCGACTTAAAGAAACACGCGTGAAGTCAGTTGGAGGAAACGAGAAATGTTGGGTTGAGTTCTCCAAAACTTTGACGAGTGTTTCTATATGACTCGATAAAGCAAAAAGAGAACTTAACATTTTCTCTTTCTTTTAAAAAACACTGCAAGAAAAAAAGATTAAATGACTACTCTATTTTTGCCAGAAAAGAAAAAGGCATGACTCTGTTGTGATTTTAGAAAACGTAAATTCCTTTTGCGTTTTCTTTACGTCAACAGTTCCGCCGTGCTCGTTTCACTATCGAGTTGTAGGAGTACGTCTATAGGCGTCTATAGGTTGTTTTCAAATAACATTGATTAAAACATGGACGTATTTTGAGTAAAGATTTTGTTCGCTTTTATTGCACTCAAATCTCTTCTCTTTGTTTCTTCTTCTGTTACTTCCTTATTTGACTTCTCTCTCTTTCCGTATCCGACAGAATGTCACTTTTATTTACAACTTACACACAACATCTCTTGAATGCTTTGTTTCTCAATGACGTGGACGATTCCATATCGATAATATCGTCATAATGTCATTAGCTGCGGCCTGGTTGTTAGTGCGATGTATGTTCGCTTCAGTAATTCAGTTTTGAGAGCTGTCGTTGAGTTCTGTTTTTGGCAAGATACTTTACTATTACACACAGCGCCTCTCTTCGACTCTCTCCACCCAGGAGAGTAAATGGATTTTTATGAATTGTTGTGGAAAACGTGACGAAATGTTGGGTTTGGGGGTGAGGGGTTGGAGACTCATTAGCTGATGGACTCTGTCAAGCCGCAGAAAACAGAGATGATGTATTTACTCACGTATGCATCAGCCGTTGATAAGTGCTTAACGCGGTCTACAGTGGTTCTTAGAGGGCTAGGTAGGTCACCCAGATTTAGGCAATTTCAGATCTTACCACTGAAATGGCCACAGAACTAGTTAACCGAAAAATGTCAATAACGGCTTAGAACTGTAAACTAGACTAAAAGAGACACAAGAAAGTCAAAAATAGGCATAGACGGAGAAAACTGGAGAAGATTAAGACATTTTGAGGTAGGGTAAACTTGAAAAATATCTGCCCGTCGACGTTTTTCAGGTTAATATCAATCTGTATAAAGGCGTCATTTTTAATGCTCGGAAAACATCCTTCTTTGATTTGCGGCCGAGATTTTGTATATATAAGTCAATTTGAAGTTTAGAAGTTAGAACTTATAGCCGGCAAAAATAAACAAAAATACTGAAAATACTCTGTGCTAGCCCCTTTAATCAAAGTAGTTTACACCCCTATGCAGAGAAATTCACTCCGATCGCGAAAAAGAAATAAATACTGACTTCGATATTTCAAACGGAGTTTTTGGTTGTCGTCTAAACCGTATTAGGATTAAGTTATGTCGCATCTTAAAACGTTTCCGCCGAATCAAAAAAGGCGAATGTAAAAATAAGATAATCGCCCCAATGACCTCTGTTTGGCCGAGAGTTGAATGATACAACAGCCATCGAGTTATAGTGTTGAGTCAGTGTAGTGGTGTTGATAGTGATGAGTATTGCATTACCGTCATTAAAACATCCTTTATGATAAACACGATCTTTTTCTCGCCAGACTGATAGTCACTCCTAAAGCGTGGAAGCCGAGTAACGCGACGAGATGCCAAAGAATTCTTCTTACTTTCTCAACCAATCCAAGGCTGACGAACAAGATGGCTGGGCCAGCAGTTATTTCGTGCCTGCTTATGATAGCAGTTTAATAGTCCTGTGCGTCGCCATTATTTGTGTCAATACGTTGGTATTGGTGTTGTACAGCAAAAGAAGACAATTACGAACAAAAACAAACACTTTACTTGTTAGTTTGGCCACGTCTGATCTTCTCATGGGACTGTTTGGAGTACCGTTTTTTATTGCCTGTAAGGCCTTTCTCAACGGAGACGTCTGTATCGTCCAAGGGGTCGTATTTCGATTTATTGCAGTCTCGACAATGTTCCACATCCTTGCCATTACAGCAGAACGATATTTTTGCGTGTTACACCCCATGCAATATATCAATATCGTCACAGGCAAGAGAATACTGCGAGTTATAGCATGCATCTGGGCGATATCGCTTTTTGTCGCCCTAATTCAACTGTCCTGGGTTTTACCTTTTGGTTATTTCTCAGACAACGAAATAAAATTCACTGCGTCCTTGGCTTACAACTGCGTCGGATTAGTGGTCTGTTTTGCAATACCGTTTTTGGGAATGGTCGTCTTCTACACCAGAATGTTTATCACAATTCACAGGCAGGTTCAGAAGATCAGAAGGCAAAGCGTGGTTCTGGACTTCGCGACATCCTCTTCCAACTTTCGTTCATCTTACAGGCAGCTACGAGCTCTCGTAACCTTCACTATCATGCTTGGACTTTTTGCAGGATCTTGGATCACGTGGTATATCAGTATACTGCAAATATACGCCAACGTGCAATTTTTCCCTGAGGTATCCATGGTGATATTTGATTTCCTCAGAGTTGGTGTGTCACTCATCAATCCACTGCTGTATACCTTCTTAAAGAATGATTTCAGAGAAGCACTCGTGTCTTTTCTCAAGTGTAGAAGAACAGGTTTCCAAGATTTCAGCAGCCAATCCACTGCGACAACTTCACAGTGGAGACAGCGTCACAGCGGCTTTGAATTAAATAGAACAAAACACTAATTGAAGAACTCATTATTCCTTCTGTTAGCCTGGGGACCATACAAGGCGGAATGCGAATTTATGACCTTATCACCAGCTTGTTATACTGACTGAGTTGCCAGGCCAGACCATAGTTAGAGAGGAGAATGGTGACCGAGGAGGCAGCGTGGCCGAGTGGTTAGGGCTCCTAACTTGAAATCCGGAGGTCGCGGGTTCAAGTACCTCGCGCTCTGACCACTTAGCTGGAGTTGTTTCTCGGTAGGGCCTAGTTCAACTCCTCGGTCGTGCTTGTAAATAGCCAACTGGTCTGCCTCCCACCAGTTGGGTTTTCAACCATGTTATGTTAATTTTTTTTTTTTTTCGTTTCATCATTTGGTTTCAGTGGCCCTGAAAAGCCCCATTGGGGGAGTGGTCAATTCAGATAATTACGATATTTATGAAGCGGAGCAAACTTCTGTGAAGGAAACAAAGATGACAAGACCGACCGTCCACAATCTTTTGTTTTGTGACTCATGCTCTATGCATGGTAACGTAACAGAACCGTTTCTGTTGGTTAGATCCTTAGTCAGAAATAAACTAAATGTATTTTGTTTTATGCGAGGCTAAAGAACTTTGTCGGCTTTTTGATCATTCCTCTCTATTAACTTTGGCCAGACAAGAGCAAATCCAGAGTTATTAAGATGGTAAATTCGATAGATGCTTAGTCCAACGCATTCTTTTACACACTGCATGTTCGTATTTGAAAAGCGTGTTGTCTTTTAAAGTGCTTATGAAATAAGAAATAATTGCTGCTTATTAGAGGTATTTACGTTTTTGCGTTATGCAAATGAGAAATGTGATGATGCCATAAATTGTTCCACTAAAACAGTAAAATACTGAATTGAGAATATCTTTAGAAATATTAAAGCAGTGTTCTTCAGACTTGGCATGAGAAATGTACATCACAAAAGAAACAAAATGACACCCGTTGTGCCGTTGTCATGACAATACTCTTGGCTCCAGTCTCCTGCTGTCAAAGACCAAATATTCACATTTGCAACCCTTAAAAGTGGGTTGAAAAAAATGTGGTCCTTCTCGGAACATACATGATGCCCATATTGTCTTAACTTTTCTCAGTAGATCGTTGGGAGTGGATGATCCTTGGTTAAGACAAAATCCTGGAATTTCAGTCTTAATGGCTGACCAGCGGCAAAACTTTGATGAAATCAGAATAGCGTTGTCAGTAGTGTTAGCGTTGTATTGTGAGCAGTGCTTTTGTGCTGTGATTATCACAGTCTCGGGTACAGGGCTATTCAATAAACCTCTAGCCGTGTCGCTTGTTATTATTCCGAGGCTATTATTTGATGAATGATGGATGAAATGTATCGCAATTGGTGCCAACTCAGCCGTGCCGGTTCTAGCATAACAAAAACCCGGAGCGGGGTGCAGAGGAGAGTGCTCCTCCGACTTTTTAGTTGGGGGCTGGCAACTCCCGACCGGTTCCCAAATCCTGTCCTAATTTGAAATCAAAACTGCCACATTTCCCATTCTTTTCATAGACGTGTTAACAAGGCAGGTATGGCTAGGGTAACCCTAGCTGAGCACTAGGGTTACCGTAGCGCCAGGCGAGTAAACATACCTACCTGGTAAACCCTCTGCTAAGGTAAACTCGCCTACCCAGGACAACTTTATTAGGGCTCCAAAATCAAAATATGATACAAAACACCGGCAAAAACAAACGAATTGTGACTTTAGAAGGATCGTGTTAATTCACAATTTGTTTTAGTTTTGCTTTTTGCTAACTGTTTTTTTTTTTTTTGGGACGATATTTTGGCAATAATGTAGTGTTTGTCGCTACTGTCGCTAAAATATTCGCCTACAAAATTGTTCACAGTTTTGCCGTCAAATTTATTCCGACCTAAAGAAAAATAACTCTCGGATTTTAAGTGATCTTAGAAGTTGAAATGACTGATTTCAGCGGATAACTACGTAATTCAAGTGAAAATTGGTTCTGGCAATAAAATTATTATAAAGCCAGAATTGGCAAAGCAAGAGCAGTTTTTCTGCAGTTAAAGAACGTCTGGAGCTCCAAAGACCTGACACTTCAGACTAAGATCAGGATCTTTAACAGCAACGTCAAACCTGTTCTATTATATGGCTCAGAGACCTGGAGAACAACAGTGGCAACTACAAAGAAGGTGCAGACTTTTATCAACTCATGTCTACGAAGAATCTTGCGGATACGTTGGCCAATCACCATCAACAACGAAGAC